TAAACCAAATTTGAAAAGAAGTTTTCATAGGGTCCATCTTTATTCCTTTCCTCTGTTTTTGCCTGTCTGTATTTGTTTTTCCTGTGTTGTTAGCTGTTCCATTTTCCCTTTTGACTTTTCTTTAATGGATTATAGAACATTTCACAAACATTTTTGCTGGGTCATCTTTCCTTTTTTGCTATCTGTCTTTACTTTTCTTAAATTTGTACAACACAAACTGTTTTCTATCTAGTTTTCTCAGTCATGTGTTTTGTTAGTGTTTTTTCGGTGACTTTAGCCGAGTTGGACAAACATATTGTTTTCTGAGATTCAAATCTTCCAATTTATTTTTAAGCCCGTGAAGTGCTTAGTATTTCTCTCCATTTTTATGTTCAATATTTTCAACTTCTCTTATCTTAGTTAAATTCCGGTTATTTTCCGTCCGCTTTCAATTTTTCATCATCTTTAGAAGACATTTGTCTGCAAAGAGGCTGAAAGTTTTACGGAAATCAGACAAATTGAACAAGAGAAAGCAAAATCCTATAAGTACGAAATAAAAATGACTCAGAAACAACACTACAGCTTGAAAATATTAATCTTATAAAGGATGCTGAATTGAACTGCGTTCTCACATATAAAAATTCGTCTCTTCCAAACATGCGCTAGTAGCAATTTTAAATGTTCATCATTTTTAGAAGATTCTATACCGCAGAAAAGCTGAGAGTTTTCTTTCCTAGAATCCTGAATTTCCGCAGCTTAGAAATTATCGGTCTCCTATTGGATGATTTTAAAAAATCGTCATCTTTATAAAACACTTGCCTGTAAAGGTGCAAAATTTTTATGAAAATTTCTCAGAACCCTGAGTTTTACCACCCTCGAAAAAAATCGGTTTCAAAATGATTTTTTTACGCATCTCTCCAACGTCTCTGCAACTAATACAGGCAGAGATTTAACAATTTCACCACCTTTAGAAGATACTTGAGCGAAAAAATGCTGAGACTCATAAAAATCCCTTGCAGTCCTGAGTTTTACCAGGTTAAAAATTTCGATCTCATAATGGATGCTTTTGCTCAATTGCGCTCTCTTCTTTTGGCCTCTTCCAAACAAATGCAAGTAGCGATTTGAAATATTCACCATTTTTAGGAGACTTAACACAGTAGTAAAGATGATGAAAGTTTCATTTCCCAGAACCTTGAGATTTCGAAAATATCGATCTCGTAATGGACGATTTTACTGAATTGTGCTCTCTTCTTAAAAAACCGCATATTTCAAACCAAGTCAACTAAGAATTTGAATTTTTTATCATCTTTAGAAGACACTTGCCTGCAAGGTGCGAAACGTTTTATAAAAATTTTCCAGAATCCTCACTTTTACCGGCTTCCTATCGTAAAGTATCGGTATCAAAATGAACTGTTTAACGCAACTGCGCTCTTTTCTTTAAACATCCGCATCTCCCAAACTAATGCAAAGATAAATTTAAAATTTTCACCACCTTTAGAAGACACTTGAGGTAAAGATTCTGAAAGTTGCATAAAAATTTCCCACACTCATGACACAACATAATGGATTCGTTTACTTAACTGCACTCTCTTCTTTAGAAATGCACCTTCTGAACGAACCCAATATCAATTTACATCGATATCAATACGAAGGACATTTTTGAGCTTTTTGTTATTTCAGTTCTGAGCTTGACTGGATGTATTTTTAGCTCTCCCAGTGTAGTCTATACTTCATTTTTCCTCCATTTAAAGCTTCAATTCTTTACTTTTAAAATGGAACACACGTTTTCTTTGAATCCATAACAAAAAATGATTTTCGCCCTCAAACGCTTAGAACTTTTAGTAGATTAAGCGATTGCTGGATTACCTTGTCACCAAAAATCCTAAATAGACACTTAATTTATCATTGGCTGTTAGTGAATCTGGCATTTTCATCTCTAGGAACCTCCTTATTCAGCTATAAGAACTGTAAGTCTATTTTAGGCTTTTAGAACCTTCTTCGTTTCATTTACTCAATATCTGCATTCAAAAAATTCTCCTAATCACTTCTCGTTGTGCGTCGACAAACCGAAACATTTTCAGTGCTGTTTAAATTTGATTGTAGACTTTTGCATTGACCAAATGTGCCTTTGCTGCACAAAGAAACGTGCTTAACAAGCAGATAATTAGAAAAAACGAACGAAGAAAAATGCGTCGATTTTGCAAATATTTTGCACAGACAGCAGTTCGGAAAACTTCAATTTTACTGCAGAAAATTTGTCCGATACCAAGTAAATAACTTAATGATGGATTCGGAAAAGTACTTTGTGGTTTCGTTGGCAACAGCTGTGTTCGCCCATTGTGGAGCGCGCTAAACAAAACACCTTATCCTTATGGCGCAATATAATATATATTGAAAAGCAGCTAAATTTAAAATAACACCTCCGGTAAGCCCTTTATTTCGTTATCCGAGTCTTTACCGACAGAAATCCATTTTGGTGCGAAGCCCTCCATTTTCCGTCTCCATGGTCGGGTATAGCGGGAAACTGCCTGGAAAATTGTCAATTCGGTTTCCTACGGCGTGACATCAGGCACGGAAATAATAACACTGATAAAACCAGAAGTATCAACTGTATATTCCATCACGGTGAATCGGACATTCGGGCTTATGGGGCCCGTCTGCTTTTTTTCGGGATTTTGATTTGAATTGAAATCTGGAAAGGTTGGCAACTCCGGCCCGATTTTTCAATAAGTGCAAGCAACCGGGTCAGGTGAGAAATCAACACTTTGATTAATTTTCTGCCAATTTGCAATATCCCATAAAAGTGAAACATTTCTCCAGGGAAAAATTTAATGAAATTGGCCCTCTACTGCCGGACGCATTTCCTATTATGAAAAGTCAACAACGCTAGGTAATAACGCTTTTTTACTCCGCAGGATTCGTGCAGATGCTTTTCCAAGTTCTTATTAAAGAATCTGAAAAGTAATTTGAAGTTGTAATTGAAATTGTGAGAGTGTAATAATTGCGCCGAGCGCCCAATTCAGGATTAGTTTCATTTTTCCTGCGCTTTTATGGCGTACCTATTTCAGCTGGTACAGGATTTTAATTGGCTTATTTAATTGGCTTTTCCAGCAAATTATTTTCAAGAGACGCAACGTAATAAAAACCGGATTAGTTGTGGAACTAAAATAAAACATTTGCAGTTTTCATTTGTAAACGTTCAGTAATTGGATCTGATCTAATGTACCAACCGCTTTATTAAACAATATTTGATATAAGAATTGCAATCAACTGAAAAAAGATAAATGTATTAACAAGCATAGTTTCACCGCTCTTAGATCATATTTTTAGAAGACGTAATCTCCTACAGGCTCAGAATTTCCACTGATTTGAATTAAGAAATCCTATTGATTCACTATCAAAAAATGTTTTTGTTGCTTCCTGGAAAAAATCCATGTGAATTTAATGAAACTGTGTAAAGGTTTTTAGAGCACGAACGAAAAAGTTCAATGCCATTTCGAATATATTTATTTTTTATCTTTGTCTGTAATACTCGTATGAAAAACAGATGCTAAAAGGTGCTGCTTAAAGGAAAGTAGTTTCAAAAGGTTAAATTTTTATAGCATTCTACTTTTCCCAAAAAATGTGCAGACTTTTTCAAAACTGCCTCATCAAGCAGTTAGTTTGGTTGCGACGTTTCGCTAGCACGCATGTCGTGCATCTTCTGCATACAGATATAACGGGTTATCCAATTCGAGGCTGGGAATGTAAAACCTTGCTATGTGAGATCTGTGAAAGGGAAACGTTACCCGAAGCGTTTTTGTTTTAGTTGAAGGTTTGCCATTTTGGAATATGGATCGTCTAACTGTCGAAGAAGGCGTAAAAATTATTAAATGTTACTATAAAAATGATGATTCTGCTGTATCAACTTTCAGGGCTTTACGAGCAGATCACGGTCGACATGATCGACCCACAGAGCAAACAATTTCGAACACAGTGGAAAAATTTGAAGAGACTGGATCGGTTACTGATATTGTAAGGCCTGTGCATTATCGTAACATTCCTTCAGCTGAAAATGTCGCTATTGTTGCTCAAAGTGTGGAGGAAGACCCGAACTCGTCGATTCCCCCACGTGCTCAACATTTGGGCTTGTCTTATGGCTCATTGTGGCAAATTTTGCAATTGGATTTGAAGCTCCATCCGTACAAAGTCCAACTGACTCAAGAACTTAAGCCTCAAGAGCATGGACAACGCAGAAGATACGCAAATTGGGTGATTGAACACACAGGCCGCTGATGATTTTTCGAACCAAATTTTCTTCAGCGATGAGGCTCAGTTTTGGATCGGTGGTTACGTGAATAAATGGAACAGCCGTATATGAATGAGGCTCTCAAAATCCTCCGGTGAGCACAGAAAGGCCTTTGCATCCTGAAAAAGTGACAGTATGGTGTGCGTTATGGTCCGGTGGTGTTATTGGCCCATATTTTTTTGGAAACGATCAAGGAAGAGCCATGACAATCAATTCTGAGCGCTATAGACGCATGTTAACCGATTATTTTTGGAGAGAAATTGAAGATTATGATCTGGAAGACATGTGGTTCCAGCAGGACGGGGCGACTTAACACCGTCAGATTTCTTTTTGTGGGGTTATGCGAAAGATCGTGTTTACGCCAACAATCCTCAAACTCTTGAGCAACTGAAAGCCAAATTCCGTGAAGTTATGACCGAGATATTACCGGTAATGTTCCGAAAAGTCATTGAAAATTACCTCAAAAGGATTGAGGCCTGTAGGAGGTCCCGTGGAGGACATTTAAATKATATTGTTTTTCACGTATAATGGCAAGGTTTAATCTTTATATTGAATTAACATTTTCGTCTCAGCAGCGAAAAAAATCTATCTGCCGTTATTTTATAAAAAACACTGGAAACCCCCAATTTTCCTAAGCTCGGTTTCCAATCAAAGCACCCAGTTTCTACAGGTTTTCGCAACATAAACATTAATTATTCCTAGTAAGCGTAACAAAAATAATCGACTTTCTCACCTTTACGTTTCCTGCTGTCCTAATTGCAGCCGACTGATTGTCTTCCCCATTAACAATCTGAAATAAAAAAAACTTTGCATTTCGATGAACACCCAGAAGATTAAAATATTGACCATTTAAAAGCCGTGATTGAAGACGTAAAACTGGGCCTTGATGTAAGATCCAGCTCAGCTACGGCAATTCATATATTACAGCGATTTCTTACAAGGAAAGTAATAACATCCTATGCCAAGAACGTTCTCTGAAGCCATCCAAACGCCCCAAACGATCTCCGTACACAATTCCGCCGTCTACGATACGCGGCCATTCAATTTCAAACTGCCCAATTTTTCATTTCGAATTTAATAACGTCAAACTGCGGTATTGGCGCGTTTCTTTCGCCTTTTGCCAGTTAGTATCTTGGCCAGTCACGAGTTCAATAATACATAAAACAGAACGAAATGGATTTCCAACTACAGACTCTTTATTTTTCGATTTTTTGCCGCAATCTTCACATGAATCGATTACCAACTAATAAAATTAGAGATTAGAGTCATTCAGAGACTTCGACCAGTCAAGTTCAAAGGTAAGTAATTTGATCATCGACATCCACAATGGCTGCTAATTGACACCGAAATCAGAAATCACTTCCGGCAAATTAAAGAAGAAACGGAACGCCCGTTCAGTTCGGTCTAATGAAGCACGATTCATAATCAACACGAGCTGATGACCGAATTAGAGTTGAATGCAGATGAATCGAGCTTACCGAATGCCAGAAAGAGCATTTCAATAGGGCGGTAATGAAATGCTTGTAGGTGCCAGTGGGGTACACGGTCTCGTCTATGGAAATTGAAACTAGTGGAGGATTTTTTCATTACAATGATGAACTCAAGTCTAAGCAAAAATGGGTCTTCGGATTGTGACTTTTCTGGAAAAATCGAATAAACGCTCAAAAACGTGATTTTTGGTGGTAAAATGCCAATTATTTTATTTTGATGTTAATCTCTTCAGTATTCATACATACTTTTCATTCCGAATCAAATATTTATAAATAAAACTAGTAAATATCAAATTCTTTTTCGATACAATTGCGGAAAACCCCCAGACAATTGCGGATTTTCTGTTTTCCATTCAGAAAGGAACTTTACTCTGAAATTTGAATTATGCCAAATTTTACTTTAGAAAATATTCTCGAAGTTAAACAACTGCGGGTAGAAACTATTAAATACTATGTTATCTTTCAATAACATTTCGGAAAAACACAGAAAAACTCTGATTTTCTTAGAACTAATGTTCACTCTATAAATTTCGTCCGACTATGCGTTTCTTGGGGACTGTCCATCGCAGATAAAGAATTAATTATAAAAGCTGATATTGGCCATGTTACTGACGAACAACATACCGAAAAACTCCCGGTTTTAACAGGTTTTTGTTCAGAAAAAGCAAGTCACTCTGAAATTAAAATTACGCAAATCATATCTAGAGAAATTCGTACGGTAGGTAAGAAATCACTAGTAAAAGCCATGA